AACATCTGTTTTTTCCCCTTCGCCCCTTTCCAGACGTTCCCTAGCTGTGCTGACCTCTGCACTGTGTAGTGTTGTCATCTGGTGGATTGTTTGTGACTACATTCTCCCCATCCTGCTATTCTGTCTCGATGGTTTAAGAACACAGTAGCCATCAGGACCCTTGACAGATAGCTGCTGTGTAAGTGTCCCATTCCACTTCTCTACTAGCGCTCACCTCTGGTGTCCAGTGTGTTTCTCATGATGCATGTTTTTCTCACTATCAGCTCTTCTAGCTTTGTTGATTTGCCTTTTTTCAAAGGTTCTTGTTCTGAATCTTTGCACTTCATGGGTTGGTGGCAGGGAAGGAAGTCTTCTCTGTTACTTTCATACCAGGGATATTAAAAGTAACATGCTTTGTTTAAGATGTGCTTACTCTTAACAGATTTTTTGAAATAGTGATTTATGATTACAGTGACGTAGTTTCTTTTTCTTATCAAAAATGTATAGTTAGTTTGGGGTAATTGGGGTGGTTTTCTTTCAGTCAGTTGTCTGTACAACTTTCCTCTGGTTTTCTAGAGTAAATATTGTTAATATATCCTTTCCAATCTAGCAAAAAGAAATTTCCCGCTGGTTTTCTGCCATTAGTAAAGACTTTATTTTGTAGCCATGAGGTCTAGTGAGCATTGCATCCTTTTTCACCTCTGATTTTGCCATTGTACACGGTGCTCTCTCAGCAGGCACCTGCTTCCCTAATAAATATTCTGTCTTGAGTATGCAGAATTTTCTCCTCTACCTCGTTTCACTTCCTCCCCTTTAGGGAATACAGTCAAGTATAGTTTTCAACACTTGGTGTTGAATGAAAATAGGAAAGCAGAGAAAACTGGAGTCCTTTGTTTATGTTTGTGTTTCCACATGACAGTCACTGTGCTCCTTTTTCCTTCCCACTTTCCTCCTTTCCCAAAAGTAACCAGAATGCTTTTATTAGGTTAATAGAGGCAGAATTTGTATTCTCTTGATATCTTTCATCACTAAATGAATACCTTCACAGTGAAGAGACTCCTTTTCTGCAGAAGAATGTGGCAAGAAGCTTTCCCGGGAACATCATGTTAACACCAAGAGCACAGAAAGGAGGGTGTATCCTGTGAGACTGTGGTTCACCATTACCCTCTTATGTCTAGGCTGCATTCTTTTTTTCTCTGAAACTTTTTCTTTAGCTCAAATTTAAAGAATTTCTCGTCTTGTTCCGACTTGGACTTGGGGGTTATAAAGGAATACGAAAGTGCCTTCTAGGATCTCCTCCAAAGTAAAATTCCATTGCAACCAACTCTAGTACGTTGTGGTTCATTGAATGTTTTCAAATGGCTAGAAAAGATTTAAAAAACTCGCAGATGCCATTCTTTTCAAAATTAAGGAAAAGCTGCTTAACATGAACCTATAATGCCATTTTTAAAAAATCTTATTAATACAAGCTTATTACATAGGCACATATACTATGTTTCTGATACGGATTATCCCTTCAGGTGTTTTGTTCTTTCTCTTACTGAGCCTAGATTTCACACATTTGGACTCAGGGCCATCACACACTGTATAGATTTATTCTCAAACTATTCCAAGTGGCAATTTCAAACAGGTGGAGTCATTGCTAATAATGTTTAGGCGCTTCATGATTGTACTGTTTTTTGCAGGGTAAGTTTAAAAAATGGTCTCTATCAGGCTCTTTTCTTTTTAATATTCTATTAAAGACATAACGTCTATTAAAGACATAAAGACATAATGTCTATTAAAGACATAAAGACATAACGTTTTTTGTTATTACTGACATTTGCCATTGTATTTCTAGCCCAAAGCAGAGTATTCACTTTAGCCTGCCCTGATTAATTTGGAATTTACAGAAACAAAAGCTTTCAACAGTAACAATAATGTGAACAGATATAATCCTTATAATTATCCTTTGAGGTGACTACTCATGGGCACTGTTGTTGACATTCACCTGTATTGGCTGATGATGTAGCATCGCCTGATAGGTTGTTTCCTGGCATGCCTGGAGAGCTTCCCTATAACAGCACTTCACATGCTGCTTCAGACCTTTTAGACAGTGGGAAAGGCATCTCTGCAGCTTGCAGGGCCTCAGGCCCATCATTTTGCAGGCTCTTTTTGTATCAGTGGTGGACAACCAGTGTAAATAGTGCATGGCTGCGCTGATGGATTCTCTTCTTGGCATGAACATTTATTTTCAAAGTACTTTGTGACTTGATAGGTGAGAGACCTGGCTTTTCAATTTTTTGCTTTGCCTCAAGTTGCAGATATCTTTGTGTCCAAAATCGGAAAATACTGGGCCTCAAAAGATACTGCAGAGAAGAAAACGAACTCTAGTATGGGCAAGAGATAGAAGGTAGGACTGAGGGTTCTATCAGGAAAGGATGGAAAGGAGAAATGACATTTGCTGAATGTTGTCCTGCAGAGCCATGTGATTGGCCTAGTGTGCAAGGTGGGGGGTAGTGAGTTCCCACATCCCTGTGGTAGAGTGAATACTTCACACGTTTACTGGCTTCACCCACCTTAGGGTGTTAACTTGTAGGATATCTCAGGTAATATCTAAGTGTAGTTGCTGTGTTTCCTTCCCAGTTTATTGATGCATAACCTACAGATGTAATAACTGCTTTGTTTTTAATGTAAATAACTGGTGACCTGAATCATTACTGATGAAATTAATGCATTCCAAATTTCTAGCATGCTCTCATTTTCAAAATTGCACATAAATTATTAGCTATTAATAGTATATTACTTCACATGAATTGTTTATACTAATTTTATAGAGAAATAAGTACTTTTAAAAAGATGTTTCTTATCGGCCTAAAATATGATTTAGCAGTAATTTCTTTTTTTGAATAGTATTTAAACATAATAGCTAACTTAAGAAATCAGGAGGTAAATTTCCTAAGCAGGCAATGTTTTGGCTCTTGTTTTTTTCCTCATATTAATGATTTTACAGTGTGATAATTGATACTTTTTTTTTTGCGGTACGCGGGCCTCTCACTGCTGTGGCCTCTCCTGTTGCGGAGCACAGGCTCTGGACGCACAGGCTCAGCGGCCATGGCTCACGGGCCCAGGCACTCCGCAGCATGTGGGATCTTCCCAGACCGGCGCACCAACCCACGTCCCCTGCATCAGCAGGCAGACTCTCAACCACTGCGCCACCAGGGAAGCCCTATAGTTGATACTTTTGACCATAAGTGGCCTCAAATTATTTGAAAAGTAGTTGTTGTATTTCAAAAAAAAAGCCAACAGGAGTCTCATTTTCTCCATTTGTAAAAAATGGAGATAAAACTCATGAACCTCACTGAGTGGGTGAGAGGTCTCGAGACGGTAGTGGCAGCACCAAGCCCTGGGCCTGGGCCTTAGAAATAGCAATGGAAGCATTGCAGTTTGTTTCCGTTTTGTTTTGTTTTTTAATGAAAAACTCTAGATTCACATTCTTAACAAAGACAACTAAATATTTCCTCTTCACTTTATGCAATCAGAAAGAATTTTAAAATAAATCCTTGTTTTCAAGGATAGAATTTATATGCCAGGGCAGTTGGTACCCTCCTCGATAATATAAGTATGTCTGCATATACATTTTCTATTTTGTGAAAACAGTCAACATTTAGGATGATAAAACTTTATCAGAAATCCTGAATCAAGCATTGGCTCATTTACCCAGGATCAGTTTCCCTGAGTGAGATTGAAGGCCTGATTCATAAGGCTTTCAGAAATGTTTCTTGGATAAAGAGAAACAGCTAGGCTAGGAGTTCCACTCCCTCAGCCTTCTACTCCTCTCCCACAAATGGCTCGAAAACCACTGACCTCCAGACTTCTGCTCTGGTGCAGTACAACCCATTGTTTTTTTAATGATGAGAAGTTAGTATTTTACTAAATGTTGAATATCCTATGGTTTGAGTAATATTAAGATTATAAGAATTTACTACATTTTAAGGACCTGGCTTTGGTTATTAACTAATGTGGTGTTAACACAGGCATAGGAGGTAGGACTGGCTGCTAGTTCGTTGTAATGGTTTCTTTTTATGCATGAGCTGGGTTCTCATAAGTTGTTGTTGGCTATCTCACCTTTATGTTTGGATATGAGAGGAGAAAGCTTTTTAAAGTATTTTCTCTCACAGATAAATAAAAGTTGAGTATATGTAAATGTGTATGTGTGCAGTTCAGTGTTTTAGTCATTATCTCTTGAAGAAAAGAATTGCTTGTAAAAGTTTTTGGTGTTTTCTGCTGTTGTCCCTCTGACAATTCAGTGAGGAATTTTAAAACACCCTCTACTTATGAACAGGTATTCTGTGTGGGCTTTATCTGAGGATGTTCTTTCTGATTCATGAATTTGCCTCCTGGGCAGTCTACTCCCATAGGTCTCAGTTCCTTGAGATGTCTGGAGTTTAATTAAATCAAGTTTCACAAAATTTAAACAGCTTCACTTTAATGGTACTGGGTGACTTTGTAAGTGGTTGTAAGCCAGCCCAAAAAATTCTGTTTGAACATAATTTTAAAATTTGAAATGTTATAAAAAATTACTGTTGATTTGATGTCAATTGCTTGTACTTCCAGCTCTGAAGAGTGAATACTGTATATATATTTGCATTCTTTAGAATTTGGGGTTTTTAAATGATTTCTTGTTTTAATGACTAGAATTCTGAGAATTTATTTTTACTTTGGGGCACAAAAATTTGTCTTACTGATTGATTTCTTTGGTGTGGGAATTGCTTGACATGCCAGGTCATTTCATTTTCCAAAAGCAAAGTTCTTTGGTTATCTTTGTGTAAACCTTCATAGGAAAATGAGATGCTTTATTTCAAAAGACCTTTGATGTAAAAGTGTGTTTCAGATTTTTTTTTTTGGCAAATGTGCTTATGGAAAATCCTGTCCGTTCTCAAGAAAATAATTTGCACTAAAGTGCAAAAATGCCTTCCTCTGTCAAGTATTTGCAGATCGCTTCAGTGAATATAATGTTATCTTTTTCCAACTGTTTTCAGAGTAATTCTTCAGTCCAGTGTTCAGAGCTGTAAAACATCTGAACCTAACATTTCTGGCAGTGCAGGCATTACTAAAAGAACCACCAGATCTGCTTCAAGAAAAAGCAGTTTTAAAAGGTGAGAAAAGAATCCTACTCTTCTGAAATGTTCTAAGCATTGGTTTTCCAGTTTAATCTTCTGGAGATAGAAATGAAGACAGGAGAAAGAGTCCCTGTGGTAGGAAATTAATCAAAAATGTTTCACTTGTTCATCATCTAAGAAAATCTGGACCATTTTAATTTGGGGTTTTGTTTTGTTTTGTTTACAGAGGTGATTCTCAACACTGGAAATGTGGTCTCTGGGTCATAATATGGGAAAGTTGAGAATGCTGTACTTCTAAGTTCTTAAATTAAGAACTTCCAAAGCTCTCTGTCAGGACTTGGAGGAAATCTTTCTGTCTGTATATCAGACCCATCATAATCGTTGGAGAATTACTTGTAAATAAGTGTGGTGGTGGAAAAATGAGAACTCTCGTGAGTTTGGGATCCTTCTTTACCTAGCGACTGTCCTCTTGGCCACAGTCTATATGTACCCAAGGGCGCTAGCTTTTTCACTTTCTGGCCCAGCATCTTTCACTTCCTTCATTAATAGAGGCTTTCACAAAAAATTGGACATGTTCTGTGACCAAATCCATTACTCACCATTGTTTTTGGATGTTTATCATGAACTGAGACATTTCATTTTTAACATATTCCAAAAACAGATCCCCTTTTAGGGGAGAGCAGATTGCCCACTTCCTATCATCTCAGCAGGGATAGGCAGGCAGGCACCTTTTTTTGTATTTGTGTATCTTTGCCTTGAGCTGGCAACCCATGTGGTCCTGAGCATGTCAGTACCGTGCTCGGGGCACAGTGTTGTCTTATAGAGACCACAGCAACCTGAAGATATAATCTGAACCAGACTTTAAAACGTCCGTCACAGTTTTCCTTGCTTCCTTTTGACTTCCCTGCCCTCATATCTTTGAGGCTTTGGGCCTGCGTTGACCTTCAGTGCTAAGGTAGTCTCCGGTGCAGTCCCACGGCAGCCTGTGTCCTGAGGGACTCACTGACAATCTAGAGAGCTCTGTGTATTTTGCTTTTGTAAGGAATTGTTCCATTCTGCCATTCTCCTTCTTTGCTAATTCTTTTGTACAGTTTTACTACAATCTTTTACTTGCCAGAGAACGTGACAGTGCCTCAATACAAGTATTTGAGAATTGGGCACTGACTCATGATTTTAGGGTTTAAAACTTTTCATTAGAAAGGTATCAAATATTCATACTGTTTTTACTCTAATTCACTGAGAAGAATATTAGAGAAATACTGACAGAAAGTCAGATTTAGGTACATTATAACATAATATCAGAATGTTATTTATAATAGTAAGAAATAGGAAATGACTGATGAATTCTGCCAAATGAATCGAGAGTCATGTTTTCAAAGGAAAGTTAATGACCTGGGTTAATTGCTCACAGAGCAATAAGTGAAAAGGGCTACACATAAAAATTATGAAGTATTGCTCTAATTTGTAAATGTAAAATATACTTTATATATATGTGTGTGTGTAAAAGTGTATAGATATGTAAATATTTATAAGCTTAAATATTTATAGATGTGGACCTTTCTGTTGGGTTGGCCAAAAAGTTCGTTCGGGTTTTTCCGTAACATCTTACCAAAAAACCCAAAAGAACTTTGTGGCCAACCCAATATATATGTAGAGAAGTAAGATAAAGGAAAAATATGCCATAACGCTAACAGTTCTTCTGGTTGGTAGGGCATTTGGGGATTTTTTTTTTCTTTTTTTTATCGTTTTCTTTTTTTCTAACTTTTCTACAATAAATGAGGGGAAATGCGAGTTTTTTTAACTTTGACACTTTTCTGTAAATTAAATTATTAAAAATTCAAATAAAGGGCCTGCTGTTGATGATAGTTAGACATGTTTTGAATGGACTTATCCTTTTCAGACTTTTATCACAGCCGAGTGTGTTTTGCACATTTAATTCTGCTTTCTGCTTTTCTGGATGGCGCTCTGCAGGTTTCAGAGGAGTTGGCTAGAGTCCTGGAGCCGGGCCTGCACTTGCCTGGTCATACCACGTTCCTCTTAGGGTGTGGCCGTATGACAGTTTTTCCATCTAGGTCTTGTCTAGTGATCTAAACTTGTGCTTCTCAGCAGAGGTGGTTCCTGATTGCAGTGAGCATCTGCCTGAGGTCCCTGGACTTGTTGCTTTGAGGGCTCTAAAGTAGAGTTCAGACTGAATAGCTTGACCAAATATTGAAATGGCCCAAAGAAAGCAGTTTTCAGGCATTCGGGATAGTGCTGAAAACCAAAAAAACTTCTTTTAAATTCTGAAATGGACTTTCAGAGATTTGGAGGGGCAAAGAAGTAAAACAACGAGAGTTAATTGGGTTTCACAGTGCTTTTAACCATACCCTGCATGCCAGGTCTCCTTTACCTCTTTCTCGGCTTTGGCCTGTATTGGCATCACCTTAACTGTGACCACATACAGCTCACCAGAGAAAGGCAAATATGTTATGCACAGGTCCCATTCCCTGCTTCTAGGAAATAACGGGAGTCAGCACCCAAGCTGTAGCCTAAAGTTTTTGTCCTATGGGATAGTATTCGTTTGTGGTTGGAGGGTAGTGAGAGAATTAACACAATTGTACATAATCTGATTCAGGACAAAATAATATGAGCTAAGATTGTTAAGTAATTTTAAAGTATTGAATAGAAATCTTTTCTTTGAACAGCAGTACACACACACACACGCGCACGCACACACACAAAATAGTACACCATTTTTGCACCATTTCCATGTACATTCATAAACACTTGCAAGGCGCCAGGGTTGCCAGTCTGCTGTTATTCCCATCTGTGAGGCCTTCTCTCTTGCAGGTTGATGTTGTTTGTACGTCATCATCATCATCTCCGTTGTGCCATAGAACTTGACCTTTCATTTCCATGTTCTATCCTACTCTTTGAGGCTTTCCAGGATGAAGACCTCACCAAAATTCACTTTCCATTGATTTGGCTCTTTTGATTTTTGACAGTTTACTGAGAGGCTTTACATCTTTCAAGAACTTTTCCACAAACATGTTAAAAGAGCAGTTATTTGGAGACTGAAAAAATACGAGTGTTGTTGGGAAGAATTGCCACCATGTTTCTCTCATGGCAGGTGACTGATTATTCTCCCATGTATCCACTGAACATTAGCCACATATAAGCTTAAATCGTGGGTGACAAGCTCTGCTCTGGCACAGCTGTGGCAGTTCAGGTACGGAAACACTGGAGTGTCTGGTGGAGGATGGGGTGCTGAGAGGAGTCTGGGTAGCACCTTCCTCATCCCCTTTCTTAAGTCCAGAGAAGTAAATTAATGGGCTTCTACACCTCCCACTTCCTGTTAGAGCTAGAAACCCATTTTAATGTTTCTGTTTTAATAATTAATCCACTGAAGAACCAGCTAAATAGAATTGGCCCATTTTTCAGTGTTGTTTTATCAACTCTGAAGAGCTCCCTGAGAATGAGTCTCGAACATTTCATCATCGAGCCTCTGATTGAGAACCTGTAGCCACCTCATTTGATGGCATTCAATTCGGTTCATGTCTTTACACTGCTCACCCATTGAGTGCATGTTTCTGTAAGCTTATACTGTTTCTTTGGGGCAGTCTTCTGTTTCTTTTTTAAAAAAATTACAACTTCATTTGTTTTCTAAGAAAACTGTCATGTATAAGTGCCTTTTTTATTCCAAGTTGCATCATTGGGAACCATCACTTTCTGCTCCACCTGCCAAACCAAACCAATGTTCATTGCTTTGTACCTAATTATTCATAGTTTGGAGGAAGATAAATGCTCAGGCTCTTTCTTCAGCCTCTGAAACCATGAGTCCCTTCACAAGCCCTTCAGTTGGCGTAACTACATTTAGGACTTTGGCTTTTTAAGTCTTCTCATTTGTGACGTTTGCCATCATCATACCCGTCACTGCTTCTTGTTCCTTAGAGTCTCAGGTCTCAGTGTCTCTGTTCCATCACCTCTGGGCTTTAATTCGTTGTCATTGCCATTATGTTTAAAAACTATATCACTGTAGAAGCCCCAGAATGTTGTATCTAAATACTCTTTTATGCTGGTTACCTCTGTTCCTTTAAAATATTAATCTCCCTTTGAAATTTCAGATATTTTCCTTCTTGGCTCCACCAACTAACCTGGACCTTTATACTCTGTTCTCTACTGGGGTCTCGGAAAACTAAATGTTTCATTCGGATGAGCTGCTCTGATAGAGCACCGTTATCATCATCCAAGTGAGGGTCACCTCCAGATTGGAATTGGTTTCTCTCTTTTCTTTTGCTTCAGTTGTTCTCTGAAAGTTGCTATTTAGTTGAAAGTTAAAGTGATCAGTTGGGGAAGGAGAGAAAGGAGGTAGGGTGAAGATCAATGTAGGTCAATTATTCACGAACAGAAGAGGGTCAGCGGCTGTCCCCTTGCAGCTGTGCAGCAGTGCAGAGCAAGGTGGGAGCAGGTGTGGGGTGCCTGCTGCGCTCTGCTAAACTGGAAACTGCGTTCTGTGCCCCAGCTTTTTCTGTGACCGACTTCTGGCTTTGGAAATAATCAAGTAACACTTCTTTATCTTTTCATTCTTTCCACTTTTCCCACAGCCTGATTCCTCAGAGGGAAAGAAGGAAAAGGAATGCTTTGCAACAAATGCCCTTAACGGCATTATGGTACTCTCATTGCTCGGCCGCTTTTGCACTCCCTTCTTTTTTTATTGTTTTTTTATTGTTTTTTAATTTTTTGCAGAACTGAAGCTTTTTCTGCTCTGCCTCTTCTCTCCTGTTTGTCTTTACTTTATGGTTGATATTGTACTGTCTTTTCCAAAGTGTCTGTCATTAAAGAATTATACAAAGTGTATACTTTTTAGCATGTCAATATTTTTATTATGTTGCCTTCCTTGTCTTTGATAACTACATATGGGGCCCTTAAAAGCCTTCATGGTAAAATCCTTTTTTTTTTCCCCTGTAGTCCCTCCATTTCAAGGACTAAAACAGTCTTGCGTTAAGTAAAAACCTGTGACCAGAACTGAAGGAAGACTCTAGGAACAGAAAACTACAACGGGACTTTAGCACAATTTATTTGGAAACAAAACAGAATTGCAAAAGCCTTAGCTGCTTTCCACCTAAGAAGTTTATTCAATGAAGAAAATGTCCACTGGAATTTAAATAACTACATGAGTTTGGGTACAAGTGAATGACTTGAAGAGGGCCCAACTCTCCTTCTATAGAAATGTCTTTAACAAAAAAGCTGTTGTAAATTAGTCTCAGGTGTAAATATCAAAGCCCTCTGTTACCAGGAGAGCTGACTAGTCTGTGTGGTGCACGTGTGTCCCTGTGATGGCAATCATTTTAGCTGCTGGCCTTCAGAAGAATTGAGGGTCTGATGGAGGTTTTTTACTTATTTATTTGCTGTTCACCCTGTGTCAAAATTTATAAAGATAAAACAAGCATTACTGAAATGGTACTTTCTGTAATTTGATACTATTTGGTTTAATCATCTTCGCTTTAGTATTGTAATACTGTTATAATGTTAACTCTATTAAGTACCCAAGCTGCTTGTCTTCCACCAAAGAGTGCTTTATTAACAAGAATCTGTGGAAACCACATTTGAAGACTGTTGCATGTTGAGGTACTTTGGTAACCTGAAACTTTCAAGAGAATGTTAATAGTAGCTTTAGAAGACTCAGGAGGAGAAACTGGCTTCAGAGTTGGAAGACTGTTGTTAAGTCATTCCTTTGTCATTTCGAGACTGAAGAATGCCAAGGCTGCCCACAATTTGGTTGCCCAGTCATACAAATTAAAATCATGTTTCCTTCCATGCAGGAAAATACCCCACACTGTTGGTGTTTCCCCTGGAAACAGTGATCCCAAATAATGGTGACTTTTTTTAAAAGTTACTTTGTTAGGGTCTCTCTGTAGCATTGTGGATTTGTTTTGATATGTGAATGACCTAGGGCCATTCACACACCCTTTGGTTTCAGTGACAGTTATTCGTTATCAGGATTTCAGTTGTTTGTAAATAAGAAACTCACTGTTGCCTTTGGTTAGGGAATACAACTAATAACTCTTTGCAGAGTGCCTTCTCCCCTCAACCCCACAGAAACACAGCAGAGTCTGTAATGTGAAACAATCACAAAACAGAATTTATTTGCTGCTAAAAAAAAAAAAAATGGGGCCCAAAAAAAAGAATATTTGTAATCATCTTGGTTACCTCCATAAGAAGTGAATGGTTTAGTTATTGCTAACCAGTGTTTGCCTGTCCTAGTTTGGAGGATGGGGAGGTGATACAATATTAAAAGGCAGAATGCCTTCACGTTATAAGATGAATGAATCAGGTCAGTAGGCAATTCCATTTTTAAAAAGCTGTCTTTTAAATATATGTGAAGAATAACAGAAGAATAAACAGATTAAAGTCTGCTAATGCAGAAAGTAATTAGAAGACGGTGGATCTATTTTGGTATTTACTCTCTTGGAGTAAATTGTAAGGTTGCCTAGTTTTGAGGGGAGATGGAAGATGCCATCGTTTTTGGCCAAACAAGCATTTATTTGAGGTGCTCCTCATTGGGCACCATGAGGGCCATGCCAGCTTCTTTCTGAGGACTAGACCTCAGAAAAACAGTGTTTTTCTATCCCTGGAAGTTCATAAATACAAAGACCTACTTACCTGAGGGAAGACAGCTCTTCATTAAGCTTTGAGTGGGAGGGGAAACCTTCTGTTTGCTGTGTTGGTCTGGCAGATGATACTAAATATTCAAGCTGTGCCCAGGCATTAAACACTGAATTCTCAGGGCAACCCTTCTTCCCTTTATACTTTTAAAGGCCATCATCTCCTACATAAGAATCCCGGTAGTTGTGAAAATCAAACTTCCGTCTGAACCTTTCTTGCTGGTCAGAACAAGTACATGTGCCGTCACCCTCACAGTGAATAAGCCATTTGGTGTCTCTTGGGCTTCAATGTACTTTTTGTTTTACAAATTGCCTTTTTGTGTGGCTGCTCAAGTTTCCAGCTAGAATTGCTGTCACTGTGGTTCTTTCTAAAAATCCTTGTACTTGACAGGCTCACTGAAATTAGTCATAGCAAACTAGTCATTTGTTAAAGAAGCATTCCTGGGAACACACAGTTTGGGATAGTGCTTCAGATGGATTGTATAGCACAGTGTTAAATGTACTGGGGACATCTAGAATGTAGGAAGTCTCTGGATCTGACCGATGGAAAGTTCTTCCTGCTGTGAATAAAAGTAGACTCTTCCCCCGGCCCCCAACTGAAACTTTAACATACCCAAGAATCTTCTCAGATTCTCATTTTTAATTTGTTATAGAAGATCTTGCTGCTGTGGAATATGAAACAGGGCATGTCAGATGGAGAGATTTCTTTAACTTCAGAGCCTTAAATAACTTTGAAAGTACACCAAGACAGTTTCCATTGGAATTAAAATTAGAAATGAATATTTTTAGGTGCCCTTGAAGCTTTCTGGGGACTCGAACCATCAAGAGTTAGGGACAGTCCAAAAGAAGGGTGGTCTGCCAAACTGGGTACCTAGACATATAGACAGACTTCCATTGTGTGATGCTACAGAAAAACTAGAAATCCCTCTAACCCGTCGGTGAAGAGGGATGGATCCTGAGCAGTGCCTCACTAAAACAAGCAGCCTTACTTGTCAAGATGTAGCTGCATCTAAGCGGCCCGCCACTCTTCTAGTCTCCAGGATTTTTCTGCTGTGAACTCGATCCTCTGAGCCTGTCCCCCACCCACTTCCTTCCCTGCCCTCCTCCGCCTCTCACAGGGGTGACTTCTACCTCTTGGGCCCCGACAAGATTGAAGGAGTCCCCAAGTGTTCTCATGAGTCCCCAAGTGTCTCCCCTTGGGTGAGCCATTTGGACCGTCGGGTGTTCTGGGCCGCGTCATGCCAAGAGCTCCGGGAGCCCTTCCCTTGCTTGACCAGTGGGCCTTGCGTTCCTTTGATGTTTGTCAGAAAGTGGCCGAGTTGCTTCTCTTCATACAGTTTTTTAAAGTGATTATTGCATTTTGGAAAGCAATGCTCATCACAAACAAGTTTAAAAACATATTTTAATTCTTTCATAGTTCTTTCCCACCGAAACTGTCCTTGTGGGGCTAGCCGCTGCTCTTCCTTTTCTCCTAAATCTGAGTATTCTCCATGTCACTAAGTGGAAATACTACAGATGTGTTTAATTGACTGGACAGTTCGCCTAATCTGTGTAGGAAATTACCTCCTTAATTGCCCAGTAGAATTAACTGTCAGCAGATGTATTCATCTGATTATATTACTGCAGTTTTATATTAATGATTTGCAGACTTTTATCTAACCTGCACTCATGTATAGATTATTAAAACTTTTAAAATGTAACTGATTAATCAGTATTGGATCAATCGTTGTCTTGATTTTTTTTAATTAAAGTGTATATTTCTAATCATATTTTATAAAGCTGAGAGAACTAGTTGAATGAATGTTTATTTTCCTGAAGGTATTTTTAAGATAAAGCTTCGTAATGGCATGTAAACTTTGCATATCTATATAGTTTGATACATATTGTCACATTTGTGTATTGTAACTGGTTTTATACGAAATGTTGAATAGTGGAAATTGTATAATTATAATCATGTAATTAAAAGTATTAACCAAAGAGCCTTTTGAGTTTTTTATTCACTTATCATTCTGAATCATGGTAGGCAGTGGTTAAAGTATAAAGTGGATGTGACCCTTTTAGTATTAGTTTGCTAGGCCTGCTATATACCAAAATACTGTGATCTGGGAGGCTTCAACAACAGAAATTAATTTTCTTACAGTGCTGGAGGCTGGAAATCCAAGATCAGGGTGTCAGCAGGGTTGGTTTCTTCTGATGCCTCTCTCCTTGGCCTTTTCTCTGTGCCCTCCAGTCCCTGGTGTCCCTCTGTCTGTCCTCCGTTTCTTATAATACGAGTCAGGTTGGATTAGGATCTATCCTAATGACCTCATTTTAACTTAATTACCTCTTTAAAGCCAGTGTCCCCCGATACAGTTAGTTACATTCTGAGGTAGTGGTGGAAGGGCTCCAACTTAAGAATTTGGGGGTATACAGTTTAGTTCATAACATCTTCCCCAGGATAAGACAGTAAGCAAGTGAGGGGGCTCCTGCTAAGAACTCATTCACACGCACCCACTAACCAGCTCAGGCATGCAAAGGTTTGACTTCTCTGTAAACCGCTAAGGATAAGACACAAGGATAAGACACAAGGATAAGACACAAGGCCCTTAGAGTCTTGTAGGTTATATGCACCGTAGCCCCTTCATTTTACCTGCGAAGGTCAGGATTAAAGTGCTGAGTAAAGGGCAGGACCAGTGCTAGAGCACTTCACATCCCAAGGTATAAACCAGGACGCCATCCACAGTGTTAATTACCTGCCTTCCCTGTTGGTCTCTTGCAAGGCGGAATCCTAAAAGACCTAGCTGCCCACACCATCATGCAGAGGTTGTGTCTAGGTTGTAGGAGTCTGTCCTGTTAAGGAGTGCTGTGCAGTTCCCCCAAGGAACTTAGCTTTGATTTGTGCTAGGATATGAGTTTTCAAAGTACAAAGCAAAGGGATCTGTCTTCTCATCCCTATCCAAACTCCTCCCGCACACCACTACTCGCGAAGAGCGATTTCCAGGCTCTGCAGCGTCTGCCTGCCCCTCTATGGTTTACCCTGAGACCCGTGCTGAATCGTGTGCCCTCCTGCTGACCCACTGGAGCTCAGTTGGCATGGGCCAAGCAACTCAAGGTACATGAGAGTGTGAAAGGGGCAGGCTTGGCAGCAAGGCTCTGAGGCTTGCAAGGCTCTGGATGAAACCACAGGGCGTGTCTCTTTCTCGTGGGAGCAGCTGTGGCTTCCAGGGCTGTGCAGTGTGGGCAACCAGCCTCTGAGGCCCCGGCCCTGTAGATTCTTGGTCTCCTTCTCTGTTGTTGACCACTGTCCAGTTTTCATTTACCACGTGGACAATTTGCTAAATCCCTCTGCTTCTGTTCCTCAAGTATAATGGGAATAAAGAGAATTCCCACCTTAATAGTTTAAGGAGAATTAAATGAGATAATACAGCATTTGGAAAGTGCTTAAAACAGCATTTGGCACACAGCTTTCAATAAATTAATTTTTTCATACATTTAAGGTAATTTTCTCTAGATAATTAGCTAAAGACCAATTTTTTGATAGCAGATTACGGTCCCTCAGTATCCACTATTTTTGGTACCTGTAGCATAATTCCATGTAAGTATAATGGTGTAAGTTTTTAAAGAGGTCAGACTATTTTGACTTCTGAGTCTCCTGAGAGTGGTTTGTTCAAGGCAGAGCAGGGGCATAGTTAAGTAGAAAAGGCCCCTTCATGAGGCCCCACGAGTTTATTTAAATAGCAAGTTGATAATGAAAAAGAGCAGTTAGCAATGTGCGTTCTAAAATGAGCTCTGCCACTTATTCTGTGACTCGGGGATCCTTTATCTGCCTCTTGGCCCTCCCTTTGTCCATCCGTAAAATTGGACTAATAAATGCGTAGTGTTTGGATTAAGAGAGACCAAAGTACGCGATTGTGGCATAGTATGGGGCCCGGTGCCAGCGTGGAGCACAACATCCACCACTGCTTTCTTTTCCTCTGCCCGTGGGTCTTAAGTGCAGCTGTGGGTGCGTTGGAAAGCCGTGTAGTGGGAGGAATCCTCCACAAATGTGATTTTTACCTTCTCTGCAATATGCCATGACTTCAATAACCATTATCTCCCCATTGTTGCCCATGTAGGTAGTTTCCAACCTTTTACCTTTATACCCACTGCTTGAATATTTCCATATGTTAATTCTTCCTGGGTGGTGCTGCTTATTTTCTTGGGATAAATTCTTTAAAAAGGCATTTCTAGGTCAGGGATGTGCAAAAGTTTATAGCTTTCGTTGTACAGTGCATCAAAAAGGAGCTTGGTACAATTGTTTGGAACACGGATTCTGGACCCAGACTGGGTGTAAACCTTTGCTCTGCTGCTTGTTAGCTGTGTGATTTGGGCCAGAGTGACAATATCTAATATGTTTGTATGAGGATTAAATGATTTGATATTTGCTAATTACTTAGAACAAGCATCTGGTACATACTAAGAGCCATATATATTATGCTTAATTTAAAAATTAAAATATTACCTTAATGCTC